AAACGAATTTGGACGTCGATTCAAAATTACAAATATGGGAAATTAGAAGTAATTAAATTGTTCGTGTCTGAAATTCGTTAATTGACTACAGTTAACTTTCGTTCGAGCTTTCTTAAATGCCAATCAAGTTTTCACATGCCACAATTTTCACATGCCGCAATTGCATAACTTAGGCATTTCAAAAATGTTTTATAATATTAAGAGTAACGTTTAGTAAATCAATTGTGATAAATATTTTGATAAGCAAGAAGGGATCATATGCAATTTTTGTAATTACGAAAACTTGTTTTAAGAAATAAGTTTGTTATCCCTTTGCTTTTTGTCAAAAATGCTAGTCTAGTTTCGTTTTTGTTGGTCACGTCTAATTTGCTTATCGTCTAATTTCCTAACCCCCAAACAAAACTATCAACAGTCTATAATAGCGGCAAAACAAAAAATTACGCCTATAATAACACTCGTGGCGAATGGAAGCGCAGCAAGCCGTCGCTAATCGATAAGGCCACTTTTACAACATTCAAATTGACCATCAGAAAGAAAAATATATCAGCTTAAATATACCTCTTCGAAACTTGAAAATCTCTCATGACTGGCATTTTTGTTTTTAGAAAACTACCCCACTTAGACAAACTGGGTCATTAGGATGTTTTTATGAGTAATTCAGATAACTAAAATCCCTTTTTGAAACGAAAGTAAAGTCTTATCACGTTTTAAGCAAAACTAAAATCCACTTTTTAAACTTAAGTTCCGAAATTGGATTTTATTTTCGCTTAAAACGTGATTGATTTAAGTTTCAAAATTGGATTTTATTTTTGCTTAAAACGTGATTGATTTAAGTCATTCACGTTTTTAGCAAAATTAAAATCCACTTTTGGAACTTGCGCGGTCATTCACGTTTTAGCACCATTTTCGTATTCGTAATTGAAGAGCGTAGTTAACAATCTTGCAATTAATTGAATTTCGAAAAAAAAATAGCAAAAAATGGGTGTGATATAACTTTTTGTGAAACAAAAAACCACACAAGAGTATGTAACCTCCCACTGGAGGAATAACTTCAGATCTTGGGTACTCAGAGTCTTCACCTTATCTAGAATCACAAACGACATTCTCGAATCTTGGTTAAAATCACAAATCTAAGTTGACGTATAAACAATGAACTGCAGTTTAAAATGAAGATGTTTTTTTTCCAAAATGAAAACCAATCTTTCGCTTCTGTAAACTGGAAACAAAAACGTATTTAAGCATAATTATAAAAATGAGTCGGCGCTTTGATAGATTACGGCGTTCAAACTTCGAATAACTCAAAAATTTCATTTTGTTTTTAACCTAGAGCTCTTCAGTTCAGTGTTTCCACGAACTTCAGTTTCCAGTGAAATGCCCTTTTTCAACTTTTTTCTGATAAGTTTTTTTTTTTGTGTTTGCTCTTCCACAAATTTTCTATTATCGGTAAAAAATCACGATTGTTGTGATAAAAACTCCGTGCTATGCGACCAAAACTACTACCGACAATCGTTTTTTTGTTTCATATGTCACGTGAACTCATTTAGTGAGATTATCATATATTGCCCTACGTCCATGAACAAAGGAGCCATGCTAAGGCGCATTCATTAATACCTTTCATTATTTCTCATCTCAAGTGAACTAGACTGCTCGTATCAGGAAAAAGCCCTAAATGTTCTGTTTGCCCTTTAACGTGCATGAAATAGTTTTTATTTTTTTTTAGATTTTGTTTTCCAAAATCTTCCTTCCACTCATGTTATGCAAAAACAATGTGCTGTATTTGGTGTCCAACAACGTTCGTAAAACCAAAGAAAACTGCTCGCATCAGGGTGAAGCCCTGAATAATCCGACTGCCTTTTAAGGTCTATGGAGCAGTAATAACATCAATGTAATAATCAATGTAATAAAATCAATGTAATAAAATAAATGAAAATTTTTTTTCTAAAATTTGAAATTTTTTATGAGAATCATCCCCCCACACGCCATATAAAATACAAAAGGATAGATTTCGTTCCTTGTAACAAATCATTATGGCAAATAAGCTTCGTTCAACCAATTTGGAACGATTTATAAGACGGATTAAATCTCCGCTTACGCGTTAATAACGCGAATTATATCGGGCGTTAATTGTCCCAAATTGGTGTCAAAATGGCAATCTTTAAACCCTCATAACTTTACGAAAAACGATCACAGGTGAAATATCTTTTCAAATTCAAGCTCAGGACAACAATACCTTTTGAATGATATAAAAAAATTCCGTCAAAAATGGCTAGTTAAAAAGTCGAAGTTTGTCTGAAGAAAAAAAACCCACCCCGAGCACAAATATTCCGTTACTTTCGTATCGAAAGTCAGAACAACAACCTTTCTCGATATTTTGTTTGTGTGATATAAATCAAAAGTATATATTGCGTATATTAAATCCAGTTTAGTCTCAAAAACACCGACCACAAAATTTCTGTCACCTTTCAAATTTAGAGCAAAGAAAACAAGTTTTTCCAAAAAACACTGGCGTGCAAGATAATGTTCAAAACAAAACAAGACTGCTCGTATCAGGGCGAAGCCCTGAATGTCCGACTGCCTTTTAAGGTTTATTGAGCAGCAGTAAAAACATTCAAAAATTCAATGAAATAAAATGAAAACCAAAATTTTTTTTGAAATTTTTTATGAAAATCATTCCCCCACACGCCATAATAAACATAAAATGATAAATTTCGCTCCTAGTAACATATCAATTCGGGCAAATAAGCCTCCTTCAACCAATTTGGAACGATTTTCATGACGGACTAAATTTCCGTTTACGCGTTAAGAGCGCGAAATATATCGCGCGTTGATTGTCCCAAATTGGCCAAAATGGCAACAATTAAACGCCCATTACTTGCCGAAAAATGATGACAGGTAAAACATCTTTATAATTTTCAGTTCAAGACAACAAAACTTTTTGAATGATATAAAACAAATTCGGTCAAAAATGGGTAGTTAAAAAGTCGGCATTTCTCTGGGGAAGAAAAAACCATCCGAGCACAAATATTCTGTTTCTTTCAGAACAGAAGCAATTTCTGAGCCGGATTAAACCTCCAGCTATGCGTTCATTGTACGAAACGTAACGGGCGCTAATTATCACAAATTGGTAATTTAAAAACTCCATAATTTCAAACATAACCAACAGACAGTTGGAAAAAGTCAATGAACGCAAGAAAACAAATGTCTTGTTGTTTGAATGGCTCTTTTTCCTTTCCCTCCCCCACCTGCAAATTTTTTCATGTAAATTTGTTGACCACATTGTCCGATTATTATGACAATTTACATACAGACTAATAAGGGCACGACAATCAGATTTGGTCTTCATATTCAACCTCGTAAAACCACTCGTTACACTAATATATTGAAGCTCGTGTGAGGTGGGGGGGAAAAGGAAAAAGAGCCGTTTGAAAAAACTTCACTTTTCGAATTTCAAAACAAAAATTTATAAGACTAGAAAACTCTATGAATTTCAAAAAGATTTTATAGTGGCAGTTTTTTATAAAATTGAGTTGATTTTAACAAAACTGGATCAATCAGCAAATGCTTTTATTCCCTAGGGAAATCTGAAAAAAAAATCCACCTTCGAAATTAGTTTTTATCACGTTTTTCGTGATCTTTACACTTGCTGTTCGAATTTGGAGTTTGGTTTCTGTTAACCAAGAAATTTAAATGAACTTACAAAAATCAAACCGCAAAAATCAAACTGAAAAATCACGAGCTATATAAGAGTCTGAACCACATTCATCGACTCTTAAACAAAATATCACAGAGTTTTTTAAAGTAAAGCTCAGGATATTGATATCTTTTAGAACGTATAAAAATTCGCCAAAAGTGACTGGTAAACTTGTCTGAAAACAAAAAATGGCTTGTAAATTTGTCGAAGAAAAAAACCCACGCTGAGCACAAATATTCGGTAAATTTCTTCGAAAGTCGGAAACGAAGACATAGCCATCTGACAGTTGAAACAGAAAAACGACGGACTTTATTTTGAAAAACTTTCACCTCTCGAATTTTATGAAAACACTATGTATCACCTTCAAGCTTTTTGAATTTTATAAACCTTTTTTTTTGAAACACTATTTGATGTTTTTTCACGAATGTGGCGCGTCTAGCCTCTTACAGGTTCTGCTACCAATTTTTCGTACATTTGGTCACCCGCACGTTTCTTCCCTAATTTTAACCTCTTAGCATACCTTGGTTTCGCTTAGCATACTAAAGATCAAAACAATTCTCCCCCTCGAGGCATTAGGAGCGCTACGCGCGCGTCGGTGTTGCAAATAATTCACCCTCCACTCAGCAAATTATATTGAAGTGGACTCAAACTCAAACTGCAAAAATTCTAACTTGAGCATGAACAATTTTTAATACTTCTTAAAAAAATCACGCGACCTAAATACGTGACTTCACTTCAATACGTGACATTTAAACAATTCATTACTTGAATAGATTTGCTACTCAAATGTAAGCGACTGAATGCAACCTACTCAAGGATAGCCGGTTGCTGTGCAAGTTGCACAGAATGACAGAATGTTCCGACCATATTCATAAAAAAATCACAATAAAAGTTTTTTCAATCTTCAAATTAATATCGATGTTTGTTCTTGGTTCGGTGTGATGAGAGAACTCAACGAACGCCTAAAACTTTGATGCCAAAATTAACTTTCCTGGAGTAACACAATGTTATTAAATAATACTTTATAAGACTTACCCGCTGGCTTCAATCGCTCGAAAATTGACTGAAACTTCAAGCAATTTTTCATGCAAACGTTCAATCACGACACAAAGGGGCTCTAATATGATATATCATTCGACCCTTTCCGATGATTATTAGTGATACCTAACTTTGTGGGGGAAAAAACTAAAACACCCGAATATAAAGCCCCCCCCCCCCCCCCCCCCCGTTTTCAATGCTCGGAACAAAAAGCTATAAATGGATATATACTACTCGTCGTTAAACTTCGCTGAAATGATCTCCAACTTACTTTGCAGATATGTTGTCATTGTAATTGTTATGGGTCTCAAAGGGTCTAAAGGGTTTCAACGGCGGCGGCTCATCTTCGTCAGTATGTGTCGATAAGGACGAAAACCTATGAGTTGTTGAAGGAACTGCCGGCGATGAGAGAGCCTTCTGAATTGTCAAAGGAACTGATGTAACTCTAGAAACTGAGGAGGAACATGCCGATGACGAAAGAGCCTCACAGACTTCTGATGAGACTGCGTTCGAGCTACAGCCACTCAGCTCAGCTAATTGAGTCCGTACCAAAGGTATCACTGTGGTTTTTGACTGTTGTTTAGTTGGTAATTCCGAGGTGCAAGAGAAGGAAGAATTAGGCTTTGTTCGTATACCTGAAACAGCAAGCCAAACAAAATAGCAAATAGCAGTGTAAAAAGTGTCTTTAAGTTCTATCCGATAAATAGAACTTGCTTTGCTAAAAAAACATAGCATTCAAATCCTACACCAAAAGCATAAAATTGATAGCTGCCGAAAACAAGCAATACCTGAAAGAACGAAAGATAAGCTTTTATCGGAAATCGAACAAGTAGATGGCTGGAAACTAGTTATATAAACTTAATTGATAACTAATTGGATTTTTTGATAGTTTCCCATCCATCAAAAACAGAGTATTTTGAATTGGCAGTTCTTCAGGCATGTTTCGATTACTATCATTTTACTTATTATCAGATCAAGGCTATGTCAGTTTTCTGTATTTTGCGACCGGCTCAATCACCAGAACGGTTAAATAGAAAGGGAATATGCTCATTGTCACTTTCTTCGGACGGGACAGGACTTTTCCGTAAAGGCAGAGCGTTAATCTGGATATTGAATTTATGAAAACTTAGATGAACACGTTAAGACAGAGAAGCTATACAATGTGAACAAAAATGCGTCATATCCAAGAGGAGCTATCCAGATTGCGGCACATCCACCACAAAACCGTGATGCTGATTAAATCCATTTAATGGTTTCAACAGAGAATTGGTAAGAGATCGGGGATTCTAAATTCCTAGCAACGATATAACCAACTTAAAGTTTAATAGTGAAAGATTGTAGAAGGCAATCATTGATTAGAATTTACCTCAACAGACATCTGCGAAATAAGTGGGTTGCGTTTAACTTAAAATGTTCACTAATATTGATGAATTATGCCTGCGTTTGCATGCCTCTTTTGAGTGGAAGCAGTCAAAGAGTCGTCAAATCAACATTTAAAAAAAATTGTTTTCTTTGCCAGCTCTGATTCCCCAAAACTAGATTGAAACCAAAAGAGCGCAAAATAGCACTGTTTGGTACTTAAATCAGGATTTTTAGGGCACTGATGTATTATAAACAAAAGCATAATCATATGTGTGCATGATGAAAACAACGAAAGCCCTGAATTTTCCGACTGACTTTTGTAAGCTCTATGGAATAGTGTTCCCTTTAAAAAAATAATTTGATAAAACGTTCAAAAAGCTAAACTTCCCGCATCCATCCACCCCGCTATGTAAAATACAAATTGATATATTTAACAAATAGCATAGTATTGCTGAGACCGAAAACCGTGCCTCAATTCAATTTGGAACAATTTCTAGGACGTATTAAATCTCCTTTTAACGCGTCTATAGAGTAGATTTCAACATTAAAAGAAACAAGACTTCTCGTATCAAGGCGAAGCCCTGAATGTTCCGACTGCCTTTTAAGGTTTATGGAGCAGTAATAATATTGAAAAACTCAATGAAAGAAAAAAATGAAAAATTTTTTTTTCTAAAATTTGAAATTTTTATGAAAATCATCCCCCCACACGCCATATAAAGTACAAAAGGATAGATTTTGCTTCTTGTAACAAATGAATTATGGCAAATAAGCTTCTTTCAACCAATTTGGAACGATTTCAAAGACGGATAAAATCTGCGCTTACGCGTTAATAGCGCGAAATATATCGCGCGTTAATTGTCCCAAATTGGCTAAAATTGACCAAAAGAATGGCTAAACACAACCGACATTCCGTCCACAATCACAACTCGAAGGATTTAGACTACGACTTGACTTCGCAGAAAAGGACTTAATTGAACTAGACCAATGACCACCTCGATGTTCAAGTATATGTACAGATCCGAGTTACAAGGCATCCATTAAACCCAATTTTCACGCCATTCCCAGACGAGGCTGAACATAAAACAGTTCTCTACTAATACAGAAAAACCTGACATAGCAAACCATTTTGAAATCGGATTGATTTCATTGGGGATCACAGTCGTTGTCGAATGACAAGATAACAAGTTCATGTCCATCATTCCAGCGTTCTGGAACGTTCTTCTTCAAGAGGAACCGGATAAGAATATGATGTTCGCCAAATACCAACGTTCATCATCCATCCTTCAATTGCAGAAGAAAGAGATAAAAAACTCAAAAACTCTGTAAACCCCGGATGGGTGGAACCTGATCTAAACTACATTTCATTATTTTACATAATTTTGATATTTTACCACTGTAAAATATTTAATATTAACCAATCATAATCCATCTAACTAACAACCCACTTATTTGTAAGTGCTGAAATTACTTGTTATTTCAGCACCAGAGATTTGAATTTAACTTAGAAATTAGTTACCTCTCCTCGAGAACTTCAGCAGCCGCAATAAAACCAGTATACTCTGGATCTATTGAGCCTAACAGAGACTAGTTAAACACCCTGAGACTAGTAGATATAAGAGTAAGATTAGGATCGGTATTAGACTAAGAAGTTGCACGAATCTATCCGGCCGAAAATAAGATAGCGTGACGAGCAGACGATGTACCCTATCCGAAATTACTCTGAGTTATACCAAACATAACTTAACTCACTCCCTTCCCCAGGCATCCTTTTCTGCTCCGATATCAGTTTCGTCGATACCTACAAATTCCAAATTACACATTTTTAAGTTGAGTAGTTTTCTTCATAGTTTTACAACGTTTGGATAGATAGAAGCAGGATCGAATTGGTTAATAGATTGCCCGGGTTGAAGTCACAGAGAAATTCAGTACTTCTCCAGAAATTTATTAGTAAAATATCAGTTCTGTATCAGATTCTGGCAAGTGGCAATTGATCTCTGATCAGAGATAAATCAGAGAAAACCACAGTACTGTAACAGTACTGTTTTCATTCTATTTTTCTGATCAGGAAATAATCAGAGGTTTTGTTCTGATACTTCTCTGCTCATAATAAATCTTGAGAAATACATAATTCCGCGCCGTGGCTTCAATGAAATTATTTGGTTGGAATGATTTCAAAAACATTTTCGGCCTTCTTACTGAAGATTTATCGAAGGTTTTCTGGAGAAAAATTCTATGGAAGTCTCCGTTGTAAAACCCAATTGCAAAGCAATTAAAAATTAGGCTATTTATGATTATAACCAGGGGCGAATCTAGGAGTTTCTCGAGGGCGTGGATTTTCAAAAAAATTTCGAAATTTGGTTGAATTTTTTAAGTCGACCAAATTGACTATCCGAGCTCTTCCAAAGCAGCCAAAAGTCTCTGTTTTGGCCAAAATTTCTACGCTGCAGGCAAATACGCGCGCTAACCCCTTAAAATTAGTTTGTATTGGTATATATTGGCGGGGAAGGCAACTTTAGAAAAAACTTAGGGTCAAAAGTCAGCCAAAAATGGATATCACAAAAAAGTTCAAAAGTAAATTTTCTAGAGGGAGGAGGGGGAGGGGGGAGTTTTAACATAATACTTTCGAAAACAATGATTTTTTTCTGTGTTTTCTCAAAATACCAAAAAGAACATATTTTATTGACAAAACTTTCTCTCCCACCACCCCAAGTTAGCCCATGATCTTTTGAAAGTCCAATTAAAATCAAAGGCCGAAAGGGATGTAAGGGATCACATTCAATCACCAACGAACGATCTTGCTTGGAAGTACCCGAAGTCGCATGAAAGAAAAAAATCCAAAGCCATAGTTCATCCCCACTCTTTGACGGTGGCTAGATAACAAAAACAAAACCCTGCTACTTATGCAATTTGTTTATATATTACTCAAACTCATACCTGCTTCCTCGTAAGATGCTGTGGCTGAAAAGGCAGTCCAATAAAATGGGCAGTGAATTTTCGGGCTATTTCGATTTTTAATTATAGTGGAGCACATGTAAGCTCCACTTGGAAAACGGAACTGGACAGCGAACTTCAAATAGCAAAATCATCTAACGACAAAATTGAGCAAGACTTTAGCTGAACAAAACTGACTTCAACAAGTGTGTTCTTTTCTTTTGATCTTTCGTTTCTTATTTTTGGTGAATGATCAAATTCCGAACTTTTTTTCGCAATTAGCTTCGAGAAAACCTAAAGAGATACGCGTGAAATTAACTTACAAACTGTCGTGCCTGATTTTGAATCCCTGTTTTGATTTTCTGAACTCGTTGGAACACCGCTTGATTTTACTTCTTTTGATAGCTTTTCTGAGCTCATAAAAACACATCTTGAATTCGACTCGTTAGATCGTTTATCGGTATGATTTCGATGACTTCCATATCCAGAAATGTTAGAGCTCCTTGGGCTATTTATTGCCTCTGATTGCTTTCTGTTCCTGCCGTCTATTCGTTGAGGTAAAGAATAGCACTCTGTTTGTTTCATTGATGGTATTATCACCGTACTTGTCGTCTTTTCAGGAGATCTTTCATAAGCTTTAGTACGGCTCTCTCTGTCGGTCCGCTTGTTTGAAGTCGGCAATGCAGGTTTGGCAACTTTAGGAGGCGATCTTGACATCGCAGAATCATTGAGAGCCACATGTGCTGGTCTTTTTGTGGCAAGGTTGCTCAAGAAAAGGTATGGCACTACTACAGGGCTCTTATTGGAAAACGAGTTTGATTGGCCGAGTAATTGTGAATCCGTCAGCTCTTTCCGAGTGTGTTGCACATGTTTCCGCGGCTCGAATGAAAACGAATTTGACAATGGTACGCTTGACAACGATTCTTGAACGTCTGTAGCCATAAGGGGGGCGTCCTTTCCCGCGTCCATGTCAGCCGTTGATATTGCTAATGGTGTTTTAGAATTACTTGCGACCTCTTTGGAGACGAGTGGTATGACCTTGGGACTTGAAACCAAAGTTTTCATTTTTTCAGACCAATTCGTAGCAGTGACTTTCTCAGGAATTGCGGCGTTTAATTTCTTAGAAATCGCAGTACTTGGTTTCTGGGGAATTTCAGCGATCGTTTTCTCGGGAAACACAGTGGCCGGTTTCTCAAGCATCGCGTGACTCGGTTTGCCGGGAACAGCAACTGGCGATTTCTTGGGAACCTCGAGACTCGGTTTGCTCAGAATTGCAGCGGACAATTTTCCAGAAGAACTTGCTGTTTTTGCGACAAAAAAAGCTGGTCTCTGAACCGGCAGACAGACAGCTGTACTGTCTGGAACAGTTTTAAGTTGTTCCGGTGACTTAGTTGCCTTTGTTGAACTAGCGGATGGCTTAGGTAACAAAGCAGAGCTAGATATCTGTTTCTCAGAATTTGATAGATTATGAAGCTTTGCAGCTCCATTGTAAGATTTATCGACCTTTATATTTTGATTCTGAGCTCCGGTCGAAACTGGATTAATTTCGCTACCGGCCAAAGTCTTTTCTGTGCTCAGTTTCTCTGGCAGTGCTTCTGAAGCCGCAGTAGTATCGCTTGAAGTTTTCACTTTCTTCCTCTTTGCTGCACTTTCGCCAGAAGCATCTGAAACTGCACTGCAGTAACTTTCACCTTCTTTTCTTCGTTTGCTAGAACGAACTGTTTTCCTGGCCCGCATTTTCACTAATTCCACTGACGAGGCATCACTGGCTTTCTCACTTTTAGAAGCAACAGCCTTCTGACTCTCAACTGTCCGTTCAGCGACGTTTAGCTTTCTTTTCTTTGCATTCCTCTTAACTTCAACAGGCGCCGACAAACTCGCACGGGCCAGCTCACTGCGCTCAACTACTTCTACGATGCAATTTGCTGAGTGTGGGTAAGGGTTTGGCATTTCTTCTGCCATTTCAACGTCTGGCGTTTCGACCGTGTCTTCAACTGTCTGGCTCTCAAAATTGATCAATTTGTCTCTCATTCGATTTGGCCGAAGGGTTCTCGCCACTGCCACGTTCACAAACTTTGGCTGTTTCTCCACTGCCGTTATTTCTTCAACCTGTTCATAATCTAGCTCATCAAGAGCGACAACGGTCGGCAAATTGAGCACTTGCTTTTCCTCCGCTGATGCTCTAAAAAGAGTACTTTTCTGCTTTGTCTTCATGGTTGAAATTGAACCATATCCTTTAATTAAACCGTCTGTGGATTCCGACACGCCGCAAATTTCAGCGATCAAACTACTCGAATTCATTTCAAGTTTAGTCGGTGGCTTGAAAAACGACGGCAGTTTGTTTTCTGAGAAGTAAGCTTTCTTCACACTGATGCGAGGCTCGATCGGTATTGTCTCACTCGAAGAATGTTGATCACTTTCGCTTGTAACGGATGTAGTTTTTATCAAAGCGTCCATGGCAGAGGGTAAATTGAGACACAGTGATTGGGAAAGAGGCCTCACGGGAGCTTCAGTAGCTGCCAGTCGGCTTTCGACAGCCGGAAGCTCCTGTTCCTCGTCTTCCAAGCTGTACGAAAGTCCATGGTGTTCTCTTTCGTGCACTTCTCTGTCTCTTTCATCGTAACATCTCAGCGCGCATTCGATGCACGTAATAGGGTGCTGTTCCCTGTAATGTCTCCTGGTTTCTTGTACAGTTCCAAAGAAAAAATCCGCAGCTCCACACAATCGGCACTGTTTTGTATCAAAGTACCCTGGATCTCGTGTCTGGATTTGCGAAGCTGGGTTCAGACCATTACAAGAAGGCGATGCTTTATAATGCCTCAGCAGCCTGGCTTTGTGGATATACTCGCGATGAAATTTGGCACATTTAAATTTTTTAGCCATAATTGACGAACTGAGGTCTGAGCTTTGTGCACCTGAAACTGAAGCTGCAGTGGATACTGCGATCGAATTTGCACTGCGAATGATCGATGCACCAATTGATGCTTGCGGCTGAACTGACTCAAGAGTTCCTGGCAGTGACAAGACGGACTTGGTCTCTGGATGAGCGATTTGTCTTTCGATTTGTCTAGCGATTTGTCGTTTTTGTCCAGTTGCTTCAGATGCCGTTGTTGACGAAGATTGTGTTGATATTGATCTTCCCAGGTAAACTTGAGCCTGAAATATACTTCACTACAATTATTGAGAACAATTCGCTGCGAAATCGCTTGCAGAAACTTTTTGAAAGAGATTCATTAAAAAAACGGCAAGAAGATGAACTGTATGTCTTACACTGAACTGTGGCATGCGCATGTGGCAAGTCTCAGAGGTCTCTGCTTGAAGCTGCAACCCAGGGTTTCTTCGCGTCTGACTGAGAATGACATTGGCCTGCGACTCCTGCAATACAACAAGACCATCAAAATTCACCCCCATACTAATATCAAGCCTGTAATAAAAACTAATAAGACATGGAAAACATTATAAAAAAATAACTCATACGTCAATGTTTTAGCGTAAAACTGATTAATAAAACCACTGAATCGAGTTTGTGCTTCCAAATCTCTACAAGCTCTCAAATGTGAAAAATTCCTCAGATAGAATCGAAGACGGAGCACATGTGGTTCCCAATTGGAGTCAGGTAATTATTGATTTTGTTCTGCTCGAATTTCTTCCGTATGAATTGCCAGTTATCGAGACACCGTCTGATTGAGACACCAAGGGGAGTTGTCTTTGAGTCATAGATTTTTTTGGACTTTCCAGCTGTTTCCCTAGTCTTTTAATTCGTCTCTGGCTCTAATTACTTCCAGCGGAAACAAGTGGCGTGGGGCAATTATTTTCACACATGAAAATTTAAAATGTTTTAATAATTCCATTATTTCTTCAATTTTCGAAGAAAGCGACGGACTTTTTGTGCTCAAGTGGTTTTTTTATCAAAACAAATTTGGACTTTTTGTTCCGACTCTCGAAGACAGTGAGAAATATATACGACCGGGGTAATTTTTGTTATATTCATGCCCATTATTTTAGCAAACTTGACGGCGTATGGGCATCGATCCGGACATCAGCGGATTGCTAAGCAAGTATGATTGCACTAGACTAAATCTTGTTAATTATTATTATTTTTTAAAGAATTTAGTCAAAATCATAGGGATTTGTACCTGAGTTCAAAATCAGCAATTTAATAGTTGATCGAACGTGCAATCTGCAAGGGTCACACAGACATAAAATCGTGAGCGAGCACGAATTCAATGGGTTCTAAATATTTTGAACAAGTTCCGATTTGAAAGCATCTTATTTCCATAATCTGCTTGATCTCTTTTCTGCATTTCTTTACAAACTTGTTGCATCATTATAAATTGTTTAACTCAATAATGGCCCGTGCGCAATGATCGTCGGATTTTAATGCTGAGAGTAGTAAGTCCGTTGATTTGATTCCACACTCAGAAACTTTTAAGGTAAAATTACCCTAAATGAGTAAGACGGCTACTTCTTAAACAAGCAAATGTCAAGAAATGCCATGTAAATTTAATTTAATGGATAATGCATGTGCTTCCATATGAAATGTTTAACATTCACCGCGAAGTCAATTGCTTAAAAAAATTCGAAAAAACTATAGAGTTGATTAGTTGAACAGAAAAATGAGTATGGACCCCCAGTACCGAGCCAAGTCGGTAGTACAAGGAAAACTTATTTTGATATTGGACTCTATCGCTTCCCAAAATAAAAGCCCTCTATGACCATGGCAACCTCAAAAAAAGAATATTTTCTGGGAAATCAAATAAATTTTTGAAAAATTTAGGAAAAACTTAATAGAACAAACACAATTAGGAATGACTGAATAGCGCGAGAGAAAACAATTATACTTAAAAAGAATATTTAAAAAGAATTTTGCAAATGCTTTTCACATTCTCATTCAATTCCCTGTATTTCTTGCGGCTAAGGGTTGCTTTTCCCCTATTTCCGTTCATAAAAAGAATTTTTGATAAGCAGCAATCAATTTAATTTGTTTCAGAAGGGCGTGAATGGATGAGAGGTTTCTTTTAAAAAGATTAGTAATGCCAGATGCCACCCGTCAACGGCATTTGCTGTCCGGTTTATTCCAGCAGTTCTTTCTCCAATATGAGTCCAGAGGTCTACCGGAAAAATAGGTTTGCGAGAATTTCCTTCCAATGGTTTCGCCTTTTAATTAGGTGCATTGGAAGTATGAGGCTACCTCATCAAATTTTTGGACGATGTTGTCGTCGAGATCAAACTTGTCAGATACTATTTCGATCTCCTCATTAATTAAGTCGAAAGCGTCCGTGTTCGTTTCAACTGTTACAAAGCTTATAGCATGAAATAGGCGCAACGACAAATTGAAATTGTGATTATTTTCATACAGTCGTTTCGGTCCCACTTCGTTTTTTTTTCATGGTTGAACGCTAGACTTAAATGAAAATAACAGCCCTTAAGCAAAACTCCGGTATAAGAACTAGCGAAGGCATTAAGAGCTCCACGTTCAAAATCCAACAGAATTTGTGGTGTTTTTGGTGATGACTGATAAGCCACTTTATAGCTTTTTGTATATGTGGTGCTATCTTGTGTTTGGCAACAGTGCATAGGTGCAGGGGAAAATCTGGCCGGTTGAATAGGACGGTGTAAAGTTGATGAAACTGAATAGGGCAAACTTTAAAGGTTCTGTCACACAGCCCAACATCTTGATGTAATGTTAGATTCTGGATATTCATGCGATCTTTAAAAAGTAGATTTTCAATTCTGCTATCAACGACGCAAAAATCCTCGTGTTTTTTTAATATCTTAAAATTTCTGTCGACACTTGGAAGCACTGTGATCACTCATTTACCTTCAGTCGATTGAGGGCCAGGTTAATCGCTGACCGACAAGACAGAGCAAACCGAACGGCTTTTTCTTCGGAGACAGACAGCAGGCAGTTTGCTATAAAGCTGTTATTGACTGGTGTTTGCTCAATTTTCCTGTTTCATTTTTTGCAGGAGAAGCCTTGCAGCTGAACAACCAGAAAAAACTTATTATTGCTGTTGTTTTGCATTTATGGGCGCCCACCTTGCACAATTCCAGTGAATGTTCCATGTCTTTGTTTACTGCTTCTTGGAACACTCGAGGCCATCAGTAACAGGCGATCTCCGCATTTGTTGGGTTAGAGCACAAGAAATCTGACTCATTTTGGTAATTGTTAATCCAAATAAAACTGACATAATGAGCTAGTTCAGTTTTTGTATCATTTTTGTACATGATATTGAAAATGGTGGATTGCAACCTTTTAAATGACACAAATTTCAGAATTTGAGGCTGACTCTGCGATTGAAATTTTTGGACGTGAAAAACTCAATTTGATATCATTCCGATTCTAATTACAACTTTGAAAGATTACATTAATAATGCGGCAAATCGACACAATGCGGCGTGTGGATTGGTAAGTGGGGCAGATTAGTATAGGGTATATAATGCCATAGCGTAGAATAGTATAGGGTAGTTTGGAACAGAGTAGATTGTCTGCCACCAATTTGTAGTGCGGGATAAGTCACCACGAAAAAACAAAGCGCGTTACACTTCCCTCATCAAAGTATAGAGCGAGCAGTCTAACCAGAGTCATGTTGGGTCAAAATAGTAGTGCGAGAAGGCGCACGTCCATAGATGGACCCATGAGAGAAAAAAATTCGTTTGAAAATTTCAGATAAAAAAAGAAACCCGAGCATATATATTCCCCCACTTTCTTCGAAAGTCGGAAAAAAATCTAAGATATCCAAAATCTACTCCCCTTCATGATGTTGCCTTAATTACAGGCAGTTTATATGGAAGCAATCAAAGAGGTACGATCTGAAAAATTACTTGCTCCCAATGAGATACTATCTTAATACATGGGAGAAAGAAATGTCTCATTTTATACATGGAGAACCATCTCGCAAATGGTAACCACATATGCTTCGTAAATTTTTTTTGTATATTAACTTACATCTTCGCTCAGGTAGGCAGTTGTGGGCGCATCAAGAGAACACTCACTTTCCTCGTCACTCGACAGAAACACAACTGACGCATCATGCATTTGAACCTGGCAAAGAGCCGATGATCGTATCGTACGCATCAATTATGATCACAGTAGTATAGTAAGGCTAAATCATGGTGACCACATTTTTGAGAGAAAAATAGTGACTATGACAATTTTCGAATTTTTTTGTTGACCTTTTTTTAGGCTGCCAAATTAATTTTTCAAGCTCTGCCAAAGCACTAAAAAGTCCCTGCTTTGGCCAAAAAATTTATGCGCCGCAGGCATAATTTTGAATAAACAGGCTTTTTGAAAAATTTTGAAAAAATTGCGTTTTTTCGGCGCGCGTTCCCCCCTGAATATTAGTATATTTTTCAAGAAAAATTTTAGGGTCTGTCACCAAAAACCGTTCTAAATAGTGACAGACAACGGTTTTGTAAATCGTGTTAGACCCCAAACTGGTACTTCAACATTAAAAAGAGAGGGATATAAAACAGGCATATTGGCATATAATTCAAGAACTAAAATAATGAACAACGTTACTAATCGTGTCGCAGTAAATCACGATTTTTGGATTAAATTAGCAGGTTAGAAAGTTTGTTTAATTAAGCGAGGGATTGGACGCAAACAAATACTATATTTCGCTATTTTCTTATACAATCAAAAAAGTCTTCGACTTTTTCGACAACACCAAATGCTGCCTACCTACCTGGTGAGGGAGACGCCGAACTAATTTGTTTTTTTTTTCTCAGACTTCTTTTCAATAACACCAGATAATACCTCCTGTGGTGGATGAGGACGTCAATTACATTAAACAAATTTTCATACAAATAATTAAAACTACAGTATCATTTTTGTTATTTTTCAGCATTTTTTGTTTTCTTATGCGTGAGAGTTTTTTAGTTTAACAGATGATGCGAATTTTGATACCAACAAAAGAAAATATGAAAAACATTCTAATTTTCCTCTCGCAGTGAGGAGACGACAAATTTCGAACTCAACGATTTTGAAATTCGCTTTCTCAGACTACTAACATTCAGATTTTTACGACAACATCAGATGTTACCCCCGCAGTGAGTGGAGAAATCAGTTACAGCAAACAAATTTTGATACAAATGATATAAATTACTGAAATGCCATTTTATTAGTGTGTCATATTTTTTTTTGTTTTCTTTAGTTTTAGAGATAATGCGAACTTTGGTAGGCTTGAAAAAATTAAACATAGCCAACTGACAGTCGGAAAAGAGTAATGAACGCAATAAAACTGAAAAAAAAAACGGATTCGTTTTTTCAAAAATCTTCAACTTTTGAATTTATAAAAAAAAAATTAGATGGCCTTAAAGCTCTTTGAATTTGTAGAGCAATAATTGATGGACACTTTTTTGTAAGAATTAATCCAATTTGAGAAAAAAGGATCATTAGGTATAACTTTTATTTCTCTGGTAAATCTCAAAATTAATTTCCCATTTTCATAATTAGAGCTCGATCACGTTTTTCGTGATCTTTACAACTTTGATGTTCGATAGTAGAGTTTGCCTTCCTTTTAACAACAAAAATGGGCTCTTTTTCCTTCCCCCCCACCTCACTCAAACATAATTTTATGGTCTAACGAGCGGTCTTACAAGGTTAATTATGGAGACCAAATATGTTTGCCATGGCCTAATTAGTCTACATGCCAATTTTCATGACAATCGGACAAAGTGAACAGTAACTTCAAATATAAAAATTTGCAGGTGGGGAGGAAAAGGAAAAAGAGCCCAAAAATGCACTAAATTTAATTTAAATCACAAGTCAAACCACGAAAACTCAAAATTGAGCATGAACAAGTTTTAAGACTTTTTCCTGAAAAAAAAACCAAAAAAAAATCAGCAAGACCTTTATTAGAGTCTTCACTACTTTCAATAATCTCAAATATGAAAACTAGTCTCTATTTGTTAAGTGGCGATTTCGAATCTGAAAATTATGAGAATGATTTTTACATTTAATTTTAAAGTTAACGAAATTCGCATCATCAATTACATTAAATAATTCTCAAGCTTAAGAAAACAAAAAAATACCGCAAACTAACAAAAGTGACATTTTTGAATGTAAATCATTTGTGAAAATTCGTTTATTGTTATCGAAGTTCCCAGTCACCGCAGGGGGTAAAATCTGGTGTGTCTAAATTTTAGTAGTCTGAGAAAACAAACTTCAAAATAGTTGAGTTTCAAATTCGGCGTCTCCCTCACTGCGGGGGAAAACAGTGACAGACCTTTATTTGTCTAAGATAAGTTTGCAAATCATTTAAGTTTCAGTTTCGGAGAACCCACTCATCGCGGCTTCAGTATCTGGTGTCGTCGAAACAGTGACAGAAGTTTGTTTGTCTAAAAAAATTTGCGAAATATTGGGGTATTTTTTCTATGTGAACAAAACACTAACTGCACAGATGAGTTTGGTTTATAAAAATGCTATCACTTTATTCGTAGGCTGATTCATAAATTGGCAGAATTGTGAAAAAAATGTGAAGGTGGTAATAAGATTGAATAGTTTACCAAACAATCTATATTTTTGATTAGATCGGCTTATTTATAAGTGAAACAAAAAAGTGAACACAGCAATTGCGATATGCTGAAATTTGATTGGCTAATTCTAGCTAGTCAGATTGAAGTAATATAGTTTGAGTTCAAGATGTTCAAATCTCGTTTTTGGGCGCAATAAGTAAAAAGAAAGAGAGTTGGAGTGAGAGTTTTTTTGGCTGGTTTAAGTTGAGTCTTTGAATTTTGCGGTTTTCAGCCAATAAAAAAAGTTTAAAAATTTAGCTTGGGTGAGTTATTTTTTGTCTTTTGAGTCTATTCAAGAATAGGTTTAGTGACCATTTGGACGAGAGGACTCAAAAAACTACAAGTAGAAGAGAAGGTAAATAGTCTAGTTAAATGTAGAGAGCGGAAAATTTTGATATAGGCGCCTGATTGTAGACAATGTTAGTGGTCCGCGCAAGATACTTTGGATTTGATGCCGAGTGGGAAGGAAAATTGCAGACAAAATATTGGCAAAGTGTTGGGGAGAGATGATCTCTGTATGGGGTTCTGGTCTATCTACCGTTCAGCTGGTTGCTTAGCCAGCAACTGATATGATCGGGGAAAAGGGTTCGTCAGTGAAACGATAAAAGTGTATCATTGAAGAATGGTTCACGCAATCGAATGCTTTTGATAGATCTAGGGATTCGAGAACGGTTCTGTTTGAGGGTCCTTTTTGATTGACGCAAAGGAAGTTCAAATATTTTCGGTCAAATGCAAGGTGCGGAAGTCGTGTTGGTGCCTTTCGAGTTTTTGGCTCGTTGAGTAGAGGGAAAAATTCGATAAAATAAGTGGGCAAACAGGTCCAAAAAAATTGGAAAGAGTAAGGTCTCTTTAGCTGCTTGACAAAGGGAAAATTTCCCAATGAATGGAAAATGCGAAGCGTGCACACAAACGTTTTTGAGTTAAATAGGGTACTCTAGGGCAGTTTTCTTGAGATGTTTCAAATGAAATACTGTTAGTCTACAGTAACAAAAGCTCGAGATGGACGTGCTATTTTTGCATTTCTCTACTTGTACACTATAAAACAGGCGCAATTGTTAGGGAGAGCTGTTGAGCAGTTCTCACAATCTTACAATTCCATTTTGAAAGTTCTGATAGCAGTGACGAGGGTGAGTCGAACAAAAAAAGCGTTTTAAATTGAGATGGGTGTGCGAGGAACTTGGAAAAAACATTGTGGTTTGAATAGAGACCCTAGAGAGCCTTGACGGTATCCGGATTCCGGAGGTATGTAGAAGTAAGCCACGGAGACTTTTCCAGAGAAGCAATGTAGATCCTAATCCTATTTGTATCTAGTTTGAGAAAAAACTCAGGCGCCTTACCGCCGAAATTCTGTTGTAATAACCGGAGACTGTTTGAGGAGTAATGGGATGATAGAGTATTGTGAGCCGTTGTTTCCGCAGGTGAAGATCTACAGACTTGCAGTTTTGGTACGCAAACGGTATGGATCAAACAAACACCGACCGTCGTCACTTCAGCCGCGACTACTATCCCATTATTGCAGAGCTTGTCTACGTGGATGAAGAGGGTTTTATCAAAGCCACACACTCATTAAAAAAGGACGGTATTTTGTGTCTCCTAAGAGAGGCGATAAGCTAACTCCGCGGAAACGACAAAGTGATCGCTGGTTTAATGGAATTTTCACGTGTCGAATCTTCAATACACCAAAAGAAAGATGAGATAAAATCCATTAAAGAACTAACTGAAAATTCGTCGACTCAACAGCAACCTTCGGCAACTATGGAAACAGTTCTAAAAGAGAATCTTGGTACCATTTGCGAAAAAAATGATCTGCTCAAGCCAGTGGAAAATTCAACGCCCCCGCCAAATATCCAACCGGTAAACGGTAACAACGATGTCCAATTGCCGAAACAGCTAAGAATCGACAAATCCAAAGAAGCTGGCAGTGGGATTGAGACCACTGAGTATGAAAATGACAAAGTGACAAGCGTCCTTAGTCACGTAGGCGTTAATGCAACAATTAGCAATATCACGCGCTTGGGAAAATTCAACAAGGCCGAAATCGACCTCGACTTTGCTGGTCATATTATCAAATGTCTGGGATGCACGATTAGTTATGTCACGAGCGCCTAAACTGAAGGAACGGGAAGATAAAATCTTCATCTCCAAAGCACTGAGAGCTTCCGAAAGGGAATGTGAGCGCAAGATATATGACTCAACTGATAACTATTAGAAGTCGGTTTTGAATCTTCTCTTTGAGAACAATTTCCAGCAGCTGGTTGACTTCCCCACAACCACGTTGCATACTCTGGATGTCGTCCTTGTAAACAGCGATTTCATTCTCAATGTTGAGCCTGCAACTGACTTCACCAACGCATATTCCGTTAACGAGAAAGCGCCTCAACCAAAACCACTCCGACAAATTACAATGTCGCATTCGTGTGCTGCAGTCGTCAGTGGACAACGATTTAAAGAATGATCAATCTTTGTATGAACATGATCAATCTTTGTATGAACAGGAAAGAGCGTCAGAAAAACCAAAAACTGTTTACCACCTGTTTTACACTGGAATAACATTGAAGCAAACAAACCTACTAGTAATTGTAATCTA